TATTATATCATTAAACTTGATATATTGTTTATAGAAAATGTTATTATTACCGTTAATAAAAAGTTTGATGTTAATTTGATAGTTTTTGGTAACATGGATAATACATGGCTAAGAAGAATCTTTTAGCATAATAACAAATTTTTTTATTTGTAGGAAAAAAAAACATATAATTTAACAAACTGTATACAAAATAATTTTTTTAGTTTGTCTATTATACTTATTTGGTGAGTTTGGACATATTTCTCTCTCTCACTTTTCTATATTATTTTTTTGGCCGAATTTTTTAATCATTTTTTTTAGAACAGTTAACAAATGCACTCATTATCATACTCCTAAACCAAAGCCATAAATATTTTGTAGCATTAGCCCATTATTAAACAATATGTTATAATTATATCAAATAAATACATAAAAATACCAATCCTAAACATTCGTATTAGTTTTGTTTAGATATATGAGATTTAAGTTTAAGACTTTCATAAAATATAGTTTTATGTATTCATATGTGATGTTAACATTTTTTAAGAAAGTCTTAAACTTAAATCTCATATATCTAAACAAAACTAATACGAATGTTTAGGATTGATATTTTTATGTATTTATTTGATATAATTATAACATATTATTTAATAATAGGCTAATGTTATAAAATATTTTATGACTTTGGTTTAGGAGTATGATAGTGAGTGCGTTTGTTAACTGTTCTAAAAAAATTGATTAAAAAAATTGGCCAAAAAAATAATATAGAAAAGCGAGAGAGGGAAATATGTCCAAACTCACCAAATAAGTATAATAGACAAACTAAAAAAATTATTTTGTATACAGTTTGTTAAATTATATGGTTTTTTTTACAAATAAAAAAATTTGTTATTATGCTAAAAGATTTTTTTCAGTCATGTATTATCCATGTTACCCAAAAATATCAAATTAACATCAAACTTTTTATTAACGGTAATAATAACATTTTCTATAAACAATATATCAAGTTTAATGATATAATATATATCTAAGATAAAGTTTAATTATATCTTTTAGACAAAAATAAAATTTTGCAATTCTTTTAGGTTATATTCGTTCAAAAGGTAATAGATTAGATAACATTTTTTAGTGTATACATGTATACTTTCTTTTTCGGTGTAGTCAAGAAATACCTTATATATTTGGTTTTGAAAATTATAACCAATTTTAAAGTTGTGTTTATTTTGAAAAAAATATATATATTTTAGGTCTAAAATGGAAACAGCTACAAAATATAGGGTCTTTTATGAAACAAAAATACCTAATTTACCTATTGGTGACCTGCTAGGGTCTGAAATAACAAGTAACACATAGAAGTTGGGTCTTTTTCGGAAAAGAAAAAAAATTTAGGTCTAAAAAGAAAAAAAGTCGGAATATAGGGTCTTTTATGGAAATAACCTTACATGTCAATTTTTAGTTAGATCGATAGTAAATAGGAGTTATATGTGATAGAATTGTGGGTCCCTCTAAAAACTAACCTATTTCTACAAAGGTTTTTCAAACAAACCTATTTCTACCAATTAATTTAAAAAGAAACCTATTTTTATAAAAAACTCCTCATTTGAAAGTGTCACTCCTTACTGCTAGGCCAAATGCCCTTTAGTATTTGTCTTCAATCTTGGTGTAACTTTTACTTATATGTTTGAATAAATTGTATATATTAGTATAGTTTTTCATTCAAAACACTAGTCACTTGTGTGGTTTAGTTCCCAAAAAATGGATTGATTCGGATGAAGTCGAAATAATCAATTCAATTTCGTGGACGAACAATTAAAACTTCAAATGTATATAAATACTTATTTGAATAACATACTTTTTTTATAATTAAAAAGCACGATAATTATTTATAGATTTTATAGAAATGAGAGATGCATGTCTTCAGCTCAACGCAGCCATGTTTAAAAATGATCAATTGGATAAGCAAAAGAAGAGTAGTAAAGATTGTTCTGTTGTTTATTCTATCCAACCCCATTTTATCATTGCAGAAATTTGGTTTTGTTGTGAAGCCTAAGAATATCTATCTTTTATTTTTTAGAAAAAACATCATAAATGGTCCCTGTGGTTTCCCAAATCTGAAGTTTAGTCCTCGTGGTTTAAAAACGTCATAGATGGTCCCTGTGCTTTCAAAACTTTTGACGATTGGTCCTTATTGCTAACTCCGTTAAGTTTTGTCCGTTAACTGAAGGGTAATTTCGTCATTTCACTACCACATGGACCATTTATGATCTTTTCTCTTATTTTATAAAAAATGAAATAATATACAAGGGGGGTCCCACCTCTCTCTCTCTCTCTCTCTCTCTCTCTCTCTCTCTCTCTCTCCTGTTTTCTTCTTCGTTTAGCACCACACAAACACCCCTGATACTTACTATTGTTGTCCCTATTTCTTCTTCATTAGACTGCCAAGACTCACCCACCGGAGGTAGGTGGTCCTCCGATCGCCGGAAAACGCGAAGATGAGAGAGAGGAGGTTGTTGCCTCCATCCCAACCTCCAACAGATCCCTTCCCGTCGAAGCTCAACCCTCGAACACCCCATGTCGTTGCTCTCATTTTCTTCTCCTTCAATCTGATGAAGACGAGGTCCCACGCCCCCTCCCGACTTCTGATTTTGTCCAGTTCTTTCTCAAACAGGTGAGGGCCAAATTCCTCCCTTCCCCTCTCGCATTAGCCGGAAATGAACAGACAAGAGAAGGGCCGTCGGAAAATACAACAACCCTTCTTCTTCTTCTTCATCGATTTCAGTCGTCGGACCACCTCTTTTGACCACTCTGTTCGATTTCCATTCCAATCAGATGAAGACGATGACCAAGGCGAAGATGAAAGCTCGTCGAGGATCAACTATTCCCTCCTCGTGATCTGTTAAACCCCACCGGACCACCTCATTTGCTGATTTCGTTCGTACTTCTCCCTTCTGATCAGACGAAGATTGAACCCACGAGGGTCGCCGGAGGTCAACGCCTGCCCTTTCTCATGATCTCTCAGCCTCACCGGAGATTCCCAATTTTTCCTTCTGTTCGTTTGTTTCTTCATCCACCTAATGAAGACGACGATTCCTTTTCCCGCTGTTTGTACCAATTAACTCAAACCCCACCTCCTTATTGTAGCACTTAACCATCGACAACTAGGTTAGAAGTAACCACAAAGTTTCTTCCTTCCTTTCCTATACATCGATTCAAGAACCCAAAATTCAGAACATGTTTAGTTTTTTAGGGATTGTGGTGGTGTTCATACGCGCGCGAGAGAGAGAGAGAGAGAGAGGGAGGTGAGACCCCCTTTGTATATTATTTCATTTTTATAAAATAAGAAAAAAGATCATAAATGACGTTTTTAAATCACGAAAATACCCTTCAGTTAACGGACAAAACTTAACGGAGTTAACAATAAGGACCAATCGTCAAAAGTTTTGAAAGCACAGGGATCATCTATGACGTTTTTAAATCACGAGGACTAAACTTCAGATTTTAAGAAACCACAGAAACCATTTATGATGCTTTTTCTATTTTTTATTTTTTCCGTGCCACTTTATCATCAAACAAATACTTTTCGTTTAATTTTAAAACCCAATAAATAGTCATCTTTAATTTTCCTTCATTTTTTTCACAAAAAAAATATTTTAATTTTAAAAATAAATATAATTAATTAAAAAATGATTAATAAAAACACAAATATTTCATTAGTTAAAAAGTAAAAATTACGTAACACTTTGAATCTTTGTCTCAACCGTCATGTCATATGAATCCTCAACAAATATATCCAAATCTTCTTTTGATTCATCAAGCAAATCACCATGTCAATCATCTCCGTGCGGGACCAAACCGTGCCCCAAACTACACCTAGGGTGTGGTTCCTGCCAAATCAGGACGTGCGGTTCAATGTACACCTTTGGGCCTGATTCCTTAATATGTAAAGTATTGATGTAAAAAACTACAAGATCTTTTTATAACTCCTATACAGAATTTCACCATTAACTATTCACCACCCTTATTAATTCATGTTTAGTCATTTAAATTAAAAAAAAAAAAACAAGTTTACCACATTAAATGAACAATATTATAAGGTTGAATGACTTGAGAACAACCTTGAACACCACTTATAAGTTATATAAGTACTACTATCCACATTTTACAAGTTAGCAATCGTTGCCTTGCCTACATATTTACAAAATTTATTTACCCATATGATCCAACATACGATAATTTTACCGTTTTATACCACAAACACACAGCATTCATTCTCCTCTTCTCCTCTTTGTCTTTGGTTTTAAAAAGAGTTTTCAGGCTTCACAAAGTTATGATATTCCAGTTGTGTCATCTCCCCACCAGTTGTAGGATCAAATTTGCATCTATAAAAACTGCACACCAAATAATAAAAATAAAGTCAAAATTCTATATACATATCCATCCACAAAACAAATAAATAATATTCATCCTAAAAAGATTTGGTTGATTATTCACCTTCCATCCATGCCAATAATAACCACTGTATTCTTTTGGTGCCCAAATGCAACAATGTACTGACAACCTTCAACCAACCGGAACTGGGCTACCGACCACTCTGAGCTGAAGTACTTAGGCAACACTCCTGAAATAAACATTTTTCAATATTTCATATTTGTAAGGACCCCAAAAAAAAAACCTTGTTTCATAATTCCTTACTGAATAAACTCACTATACCTTTAATGAAGGAGAGAGACGAGCTTGACGAAGAAACAGGGGTAGTATTGTTATTGTGATTCTGGTCAGATGATTCAGTAGTAGCCTTGCCCTTGTCTATTATGCCTTGGCTTCCTTGACTGGGCTTCAGGCTAAACACATGAACAGTGCCTTTGTCACTAGAAACTGCCAGCCATTGGATTGTAGATGAAAACGCTAGGCTATATATTTCTGCTCTATCTGCACCCCTTCTTACCTGCATATCATCAATCATCACTTGCTTTTAGTAGTATAATACAAGAATGAAATTATAAACTTAATCATCAACATATTGTGTAGACTGTGGATAACCATCTATGGTAACTATATCTGTGAATCCACACAGAAACTGTAAACATTATATTCAAAAGGTATCTGGAATAGTTCATTGGCGTACCTCCTGCAACAGTGTCCCATCATGTGTATCGAAAATTCGAATTAGAGTTCCTTTGGTGCTGGCTGTAGCAATCATATGCCCATCCTGTGCTAGAGTGAAGCAGGCAATCCGTGAATCGTGAGCTAGAATAAACTTTGTTTTTTTCGAAGCATAATGTTCAACCCTAACTTGCCCCTTCTGCAGACCTGGACAAACAAGCACAAAATTACTCGACCCCTGGGAAACCTCACAAAGCCCTTTTGGATTCGTAAACGTTTCAATTTGATGCAACAACTTCAAATCCGAGAAATTGTATACCAATATCTTCTGTTCCAAAACCACGATGATTCGGTCTCGTCTTAGCCGAACTCCACGAACTTCAGACCTAAAAGACAGTTCACCAATGCATCGGCTCTTATGATCGTCCCAGATCATAACCTTATTGGGAGGATACTGTGGTTCCGGACCACCACCGACTAACGCAAGTATATTGCAACGAAATAGCATCTCCACTATCGCAATCCCGCCTCCGTTCTCGAAATCTCGACGAAAAATCTCGCGGAAAGGATCACAGTTGTAGATTCTAAATCCATGATTGATACCAGAAGCAAAACAACCGTCATCTTGATTGAAGGATACGTGAAGAAGCGAAAGAGCTGAAGGAGGAGGAGGAGAAGCATGTTCATGGAAATCTGGATCCTCCATGTGAGGGTGTGGAATTAGGGTACTGTCATGAACCGGAACCCGATCCGGATCTTGAGAAGATTCGTTTACATCGTGTATACCTACTTCATTATCTGGAAGAAACTGGTTAAGCCAATCCCTAACATTATCATCGCCCTCTTCGTGAGTGTACTGACTTTGCTGTTGTTGAGTAGGGTTTGTTTTGATTGGTGGTAGCAGTGACGAGAGATCTTCGCTTCCATCGACGGTGGGGACTACAGAGGAGTGATCGTCTGAGTGATGATTAGGGCTAGGGTTTGGCCATGAGGGAGAGGAAAAAGACGAAACGGTTGCCATGGTTGATGATCGGAGCTTGCAGATTTACGAAGACTTTATCCACATCCAAAATTTTGTATTTGTAAATATTTTATATTTGAGCTAATCTTACGATTTGGTACACTGTACATTTACAAATTTACAACTTTGCTCCCTGCAATTCTCGTTTGTCATTTTAGCTAATACTTTGAGTTAATACAATAGTAATAATTTTGTTTTGTTACTCGTTTAGTATCAAAATAAAATTCTAAATAAAAAATAGCGACGTACTTCAATTTAGGGTAAAGAAAATAGCAAAGTACACTTAACCTAATGATTCTTTTGACTTTCACATCGTAGTTTTGGAGTTGAAATGAATAATGATGAAGTATAGGGGGTAAGGGGTGAATTAAAAACACTAAAGGGGGCAAAGAAAAATTCCGTAAACTAGCAGTATTCGCTAATTGGGGTACACGTAACACGAAAAAGAAGTCAGATGCTTTGGCTTGACTCCCACCCACGCAATCCAATACCAATCTTCCTGCTTCATTTGTGACTTGTACCTTGTCTTTATGCTCCCTCATATGTGACTTGTATCTTGCTTTAAAGAAAAAAAAAAAAGGAATTGACATAAAATAAGATTGTCAAATAATAACTACTTATGCAGCTGTTAAAAAAAATGATAATAACTATATTTTACGAAAATGTAGGTATATTATCATGAATTTTAAAATTTTCAATTTTCAAAATTTGATTTCTTTCAAAAAGGTTATTTGAAAATAAAATTTTTGGAAGTTGATGTGTAAGTTCAAACACAGTGCGAAAATAAGGTTTCTTGAAATGGACTTATTATTAAATCTTTTTTATGATATAAAGCAACTATAAGAAAATACTAGCTTTTTTTCAGAATTTTCGAACTTTGTTTATGACTTTTCAAACTCACTTAAAATTTCAAAATTAAATAACTACATAAAGTTACTCCAAAAACTGGTTTTCTCCAAATTTCGAACTGCATTTTTTTCTTAAAAAAGGTGGTTAGAAGTTTTCAAAGTTATCTAAAAACATTTGAAATATGTCAAATTTTAGTCTATTTAAGGTTATATTTACAATTTATTTAAGAGTATATGTGATTCAGTACATTTACATGTGAATTTACATGCGAGTGTGAATCAAAACTGAGTAAGACAATTTTTTTGACGGATAGATTATTAAAACAAGATAATACATTTGCTCAAGAGAGGATATATGAATTAGTTGCAGACTAATGATACACATTGTGTGGTCTCATGGTTGGCCCTAGGCGTGTACAGCGTGTGCGGTTGTACAAGACCATGTTGTTTAGCGGGTCTGGATTTTTTTTATGTATATTAAAATTAGCAACGAATCAGTGACAATTTTTGTATTGATTAATTTTATAACATTATCGACTTATAGTAGTTTTAATTACTCTCATATATATATATATATAT